TGGCAACATAGCATGCACAGCGCAGCGGTCCATGGAAGCGGATATCAGAGAGCTACTTCTGACGTTCTTTCAAGCAATATCTGGTCCACACAGCAGGAGGCATCACATTCCCACTCGCCCTTCCATTGTCGCATGATCGTCAAGTCCATATTATTCATTCTCAGGTCAGAACTATATCTAATGATACGGGAGGTTTTTTGAGTACCGTTTTTGATTGCAGGGCTAAGGTTCACTCAAACCACCCGAGAACCTTACTAAACCCCAGTGAGCTGCCTGGGTTCAAACCCAGGACCTCTGCGGTGCCAGCTCAGCACTCCGGCCAGAGCCACCTGGCCACCTAAGCGATTTACTGATTTTATTTGGTGGTAGGGTGACGCAGTGGTACCACACTTGTACCTCACAGCAAGAAGTCTTGGGTTCGATTTACAACTCTGGTGCCTTTCTGTGTAGAATTTGTATTATTCTCCCCCTGTTCTCCAGCCACTCCACCCTCTCCAGCCACTCTACCCTCTCCAGCTACTCCACCCTCTCCAGCTACTCCACCCTTTCTAGCCACTCCACCCTCTCTAGCTACTCCACCATCAACAACCACGCCACCCTCTCCAGCCGCTCCACCCTCTCCAGCCACTCCACCCTCTCCAGCTACTCCACCCTTTCTAGCCACTCCACCCTCTCTATCTACTCCACCATCAACAATCACTCCACCCTCTCCAGCCGCTCCACCCTCTCCAGCTGCTCCACCCTCTCCAGCCACTCCATCCTCTCCAGCTACTCCACCATCTCCAACCACTGCACCCTCTCCAGCCACTCCATCCTCTCCACCCTCTCCACCCTCCCCAGCGCGCCCGCGTGGCACCTGGAGGTTGTGGTGGCCCCGCTGGTGGCGCTCAGAGAGGCGCTCCACCCTGGCGCTTGCCTCCCTCTCCGCGTCCTCCGCCGCCTCCAGCAGCAGCTCGTTCTGCTCCTCCAGGTCACCCACGTATGAGCGCAGCAGCCGCTCCCGCATCTTAGGGTGACCCCCCCCCCCACCAATCACGCAAGGTAGGATATCATTGATTTACATGCTCACTCGGTCAATTTACTCTCCGGCTCATCACTTCATTCAGAATAAAAAATATTTGTTTATACTGGAGAAATCCGATGAGCCATGAAGCTTTTTTTTTACAGATGTCCAGTAGGGGCAGGTCATCTGGCTCCCTGGCTCATTAATACACCGGCTCATTAATTGCTGCATTAACTTTCATTTATTCACTCACTGGCTCATTCACTCAGTGGCCCATCATTCATTCACTCAGTGGCCCATCATTCATTCATTGACCCACTCGTACGCCTACTCAGTCAACCGGTTAATTCAAATTGCTCTTTGGCTCACCCACTGACTCATTCACTCAATGGCACATTAATTCATTCATTGACCCACTCGTACGCCTATTCAGTCAACCAGTTAATTCAAATGGCACTTTGGCTCACCCACTGCCTCATTTATTCACTCAATGGCCCATCATTCATTCATTGACCCAGTCACACGTCTATTCAGTCAACCGGCTAATTCAAATAGCTCTTCGGCTCACTTCCCCCGCTCATTCATTCATTCAATGGCCCATCATTCATTCATCGACCCACTCGCACGCCTACTCTGCCAACCCGTCAATCAAACCGTCGTCGACTTCACCCACTGCCCAATCCATTCATTCACCAAATCGGTCGCGAAAAACATGGCCCGCCCAATTCACTCAAATCGCGTCCGCGCTCGCAGCATCACGTCGACCAAACGACACCAAATCCAAGTCCACTCACCCTCAGCGTGTCCTGCCCCGCCAGCTCCGCCTCCTCGAGCCTCCGCAGCTTCGCCTCGTACAGCTGCCGCACCTCGGCGAGCAGGGCTCGGGTCTCGTCTCTCCGCGCCCCTCCTCGCCCGGCCTCCCCCGTGCAGCCGCCCGCCAGACCCGGCGCGCCGATCCTCGCGGCGCTCCGTGTCCCGCCGCCGACGCCGCTGGCTGGCGGCTCTCCCGCCGATCGGGCCCCATTTGCGCGCCCAGGCATCATCGTCGTCAGCAAGCGAGCAGCCCCAACCCAACACCTGTGCCTCGCTTAAACTTTTACGAACAATTTTGAATGTAGCGCGATGTCCATTCGTAACGCATGCCACGGGTACGGGCGCTCCGCTGTCAGAAGTCCGTCCGCTAAAGCTGTAACGCCGCCTGTGTTATTGATTAACTTTAGCGGCCAACTGCGGTGGTGGCGATGATGATGATGCCGCTTGTCACCGGTTTGCCAGCAGCCTCCCGAAGCGGACCGTTTGGATTCCCGCTCCGCGTTTCGTAAATGCCCCCTTTGTTTTGTTTGCTGGCCACACCCCCACCCTCTCGGCCACCGTTGGAGGTTTGTGTGGGGCGGGCGGACTTGTGGAGGGGAGGGGGGGGCGACTTTCCCGCAATATTATTGGTCCGATTGGGCGCGTCACGTGGGATGGGGGGGGCGGGGAAGCCTGCGCGTCACTCGCAGTGGGTGTCATGGCTGCGCCCTGAAGAGGCGTGGGTTGCGCGTGTTGCCCGGGCAACGCGGAGAGGTCAGTTTGACGGTTTAAATTTATTAATTATATTGTTGCGTCTTGATTTTTTTTTTACAAAAAACAACTTGTATTTACTTATTCATTTCTTTAAATGTGGAATGCGTGCCGTGCGTGCGAGAGAGCGAGCAGTGCGCGGCTCAGAAGTTCCGTGTCCAGTAGTTTCATTTTTCATTTCATTTATTTGGTATAAGGCTCTTGAATCGGGTGCAACCGCAACAAAAAATCATCTTAACGTAGTGATAGCAGGGGTGTGTGGTGTATGTGTTTCTGTGTATGTACGTGTGGAGCGGTGGTGTCAGTGGTTAGTACGCCACGCTACGCAAGGTGGAGGAGGACCTCGTCCAGCGGTGGACTGACAAAAGGCTCTGCGCGTACTTTACGTAGCCCTGCCAAAGTCCAACTTGGTGAACTGCACGGCAGAAGCAAACGCTGTGCCGGTTCTATTACTATCCTTTACATTTGCTCCCATGCCTGCTTGGCTGCTCGTCCTTTCAACATTTAAATATTTCCCACACGCGCACGCGAGCTTATGTTTGTGCGCCTGAATGTGCGTGTTGGGAGCGGTGGTGCAGCGGTGAGCGCGGTGCACTGCGACACCGGCGTCCCGAGTTCAATTCCCGATCACGGCCAACACCGGTGACAATTACCTGAACCGGGTCCTGGGTCTCCCCTAGGTCGACTAAGCCTCAAATGAGTATCTGGTGCGGTGTGTAAACATCGCCACTGGGGAGACAAAGGCGGCCGGGCGTGGTGCTGACCACCCACCCCTTCGTGTGCCGTGCCGGCCTTAATAAGCGCTCGCTAACAGCACTTGCCCCAACAGTCTGTTAAGGCTACACGGGGGGTCGTGATTGTTGTACGTTTAGGCCCCGGATATCCAGAAGCTAAGTGTGGGAGAAATCGGCGCGAAGTTGTTTCCCGCGTCATAGGAATGTGGAATTTCCATCACTTGCTCGGGGGCCGCCAATGGATATGAGCGCAACCCCACGCGCTCGGTTGAATGTGAAACTCGGCAGATCCGTCCACCCTTTTGTGAGGTGACGAGGTGATAGAAACAAAATGTGGGCAAAGAACCAGAGTCTCTGTCGCTATTGCTCGCGGAGATGTTCACTCAATCGCGGACTTTGACTTCGCTTTTCTTTCCGTTGATGCCATGTCAAAGGGCATCGCTTCATTTTCGTGTAGGCTTAACGGGGTCAGGGCAGTGCCTTCTTTCGCCTTTTCCACTCCACGGCACTCACTTTAGAACTTGCGCAACCTTTTGCGGCACACCGAACCCAAAACAATCACTGAACAATGGAGATGGGAGTGGTTTGCCGGGGATCGGCCACTGAACGGCATGGGGGAGTGGATTTGGCCCGAGCTTGCGCGGCACACCTGGGACTTGGATTGCGATTATGGTTCGGGATTTTATTTTGAAATACATTCGCGGGGGCTGAGGCCCAACACGTAATCGAGAATCGGAATCTTTATTTATCCTGGAGAAATCCGATGATACATGAAACAAACTCCTTTATCACGGATGTCCAGTAGTAAAGCGGCCAGCAACAAACAGCGCCGTCAGACTTGTAATGAGCAGGAGTTAACACGTGTATTTAATTGAGGCAGGTTGTTATGAGAACTCGTGCAAAGTGACCATGGGAGGGAATTCTAAGGTCCGAGCAGTGCAAGAAAAGAACAAACAAGTGTTTGACCCGCAGTGTGGCAGCTGAACAACAGTTGGGTATAGGTGGTAGAATCAATGAGTTTTGAGAGCTATGGATAGCTTTTGGGGACGAATCTGTGGGGACATCATAGCTTTGTTATTCATAATACAGGTGTTTTTTTGGGTTAGATCGCGTAAATATGTGTCGTTAAACCCGCCACCACCTGACACAGATAGTTAGGTTTAATTTTGATTTAAAGCTTTCGTGACTGCAGTAATTCATATTCTTAGCTCTTTCGGTAAAGTCACGTTGAAGGGAAACAATTAATTAATGAAATATATATAAAACAATAAAAATTCTCACGACGTTTCGACCATAACACAAACGGTCGTCATCAGGTGTGATGACGACCGTCAGGTGTGATGACGACCGTTTGTGTTATGGTCGAAACGTTTTGAGAATTTTTATTGTTTTATATATGTTTTATTGTTTCGCTTCAACGTGACTTTACCGAAAGAGCTAAGAATATTAGTTAGGTTTGTCACTTAAACAGAACGTTGCCAATTCGTTGCTAGTACAGCACACCGGTGTGTTGGAGAGCAAAGCCACAACAGTTACAATCTGAGTACGACGTTTCGCCAGTAATTACAACTAGCTTCATCAGGCGACAGCCAGAGTTGTGGAGAAATCCTCCTGTTTCGTTCCTTAAATAGAGGGGTAGATTTGATGACATCACTTGTGAGCCCTTCTTGAGCAAAGTGGAGGGGGAATTAATGAATGCATATAAATGACACTGGGTATCCATTGCCGGTTGGGTTATTTATATAGTAATCGATACATATTTACGCGATCTAACCCAAAAAACCTGTATTGTGGATATTGTTCACGAAAGCCTACGTGTTAAGATTTGTTATTGTCATCGTCTCACTGCTGGTCCTCGGGATCGGTTCAGACATCACTTGCCACTGATCTAATCTCAGGGCGCCGTATTCATAGATATATTTAACCACTTAATGTGCAAAGTGACGGAACACAGTAGTAAGGTGATCCTTCGGTTTGGTGGTTGGCTGATGGATGAAGCAGTGTAGTTGATAGTGGAGGAGCAGCAGTAGGTAAGGGACCAGGATGGGAAGAGGGGGGGCCTTGAGCTTGCACTCACGAGCGGACGGGGGTCAGCAGTGAGGATGACCAGCGAGAGGAAATTTGAGATCACTACAGCAGCAGTGAAGGAGTGACACCCCCCCCCCCCCCCCCCCAACTGAGTGGTGATTGACTGGAGGTTTTGCAAAGAGGAACTTGTTGTTAGAGCAGAGGGAGGTTGTACTGATAAATATGAATATTGTCGTTTGTCCAGGAACACCAGGAGGGTCCTGCATTTGAAAAATTCGCCAGTACCATTTAAATGCATGTTATTCATGTGACAAACATTCCTGGAGAAAACCCCACATACAGGGGATAACATCTAAAATTAATCAAATCTCTCTTTGCTTATCCAATAAAGTCTCATTAACTCTCGAGAATATTTTAGGAGAGTCCGGCATTGGGGCGTTTTGTCAATTCCATATATGAGAGACGTGGGAGGAAACTGGAGGAATATCCAGTGTATACCCACCGTGCATATGAGGGGCATGTAGCCAAAGCTCCACACAGATGGATTGACAAAACCAATTGCTGTGCTGCCATCGTTTGGCCATCTTGCAGCCTGAACCTACAACCAGGGCTTGATTTTAGCCGCATCTCTCCGAGTAATTATTTTCACCCATCACACCAAATCCATGATGTCTGGCTGTGGCTACGAGCCTCGTGCTACTAAATCCAGTCTTCCACAAACCTGCAATATATTCACTGAGAAATGAAATCCTGCCAACAACGTCTGTTATATCAAGGCTGTCGTAAATTTAATTACTAACCAGGCTCACATTCCAGCAGATTTGGGAGTTTCACAAATTCCTAATTATTCACAAAACCTAGCTTCCAAAGTTCTGGGTCACAGGCGTATGGGTTACAGCTACTACCACACCTGACTCTTATACCTCTTTTGCACTCTGCAGGCACCAGGTTGTTTTTTCACTATAGAACCCAAGTTGTACCACTGACATCGCACGCAATGAACAAGTCGAGTCATATCTAGACGATGCGTTTCGGTGAATCGTATTAACCTGGTCCTGCTTGGCCCTGTCAGCTTATCACGATTTTGTCATGGCTCGGCACAGAAAATAGCCAGTGGAAATCAACAAAAAAATCATACCGTGATGGCCACATGCTGGCATGCTGGTATAACACAAACGTGCCAATGGAAAAGGGGGTATTAGTTTAGAGGGGAATGTGAGTTTTAGAGGACGAATGACCTTTGTGTTCCCCGTCCACGGCTTTTCGTGACCATGTGCGCTGCCCCGAGCGTATGCACTGCCAGGGTCGGGGAGGGCATGGCTTCCAAACCGCCTGCCCCCCCGGGGCGGGTGTTGCGAGTGAGTCAGCTGGACGCACTGGAGCTGGATCGCATGCTGGAGCAGCTGCTGTGGGAGCAACTGGGTCGCTGCTTCCAGGTGAGAAGATGTGCGAGCACCCGTGTCCAATATCCACATGGAGGGGGTAGGATACAGGTACCCTCGCCATGGCCCCATATTAGCTGGTGCCCTCTTAACTGCCACCTTGTTTACTGTGTCTTCGTTCCGTAACTCCATGGGGTCCTCGTTAAATTAACAATCCAGTGAAGCTAATGACCACGAACATCTTTTTCAATTGTATATTGGCATTATAATTTTTTTTTTACTTAAACAGAATTGTGTTGATGTTTGTTACTTAGCTGGCACAGGCATAACGAGTCTTAAGAGTAATAAAGTAGGAAGTGGTCGGGTTGCCCAGAGATCAAAACGCTGAGCTGGCACCGCTCACTTCCTGGGCTTGAATCCCATCAGCCACCTGTGATTAAACCAGGTTCTCAAGTGTGGAAGGTTGATGGTCACAAGCCCAGTCACCAATGAGCAGACCAAAACAAAATAAAAGCACGCTAAATTTCGGTCTGCACTTAATTTGGGTAAATTCCAATGCTGAGAATTAAAAAAATAAGGGTCAAGCGTCACGTGACGAGCATTATTGCGCTTGGCGTTACAGGCGTTCCGCCCGGGCCTGCTGGTGGGCTGGGAGCCCGAGCTGCGAGCCCTGCTGCGCCTGCTGCTGTGGCGCTTCACGCTGTACTCGAGTGAGGCCACCGTCGGCCAGGCCCTGCTCAACATCCGCTACAGGTAGGCGTGGGCGGCGCTATGTTGAGCGAGGGAGATTCCACCCACTGCTCTACGTATGTTAAACTTCTTTCGCACCGTACGTGGCCATCCATGCTAATCGATGGTGTGGGTATATTCATAATAAAGGTTTTTGGGTTAGATCGCATTTATTTATAAATGTGTCGTAACCCTCCACCACCCGACACGGCCAATCAGCAAAAAAAGTGTCACGTTGACAAAAGACAAATAATTCACTACTTTAGCCCACCGGTGTGTTGAAGAGTGAATCCACAACATTTACAGTTTGAGTACGACGTTTCGCTGGTAAATACATCCAGCATCATCGGGCAATTCGCCAGAATGGTAAAGCCCTCGCTTGCTCCCGGTTTTATATAGAGCAGCAGGGTGACGTCATCACTTAACTCATATCAGGTGCAGTGATTAGAGGCGGAGGGGGGGGTATTGTAATTATATAATCGATTAGTAATCAGTCATTGGTTATGATTAGTAATGAGTTGTAGATTAGTAATTCTTTAAATCAAAATGTAATGTGTATTATTTAATAATACGCTTCCAGGCCGCACTAAGCCTGTAGCTGTCAGAGCGATTAAAGTTATTCTTGTTCCTCTCAATTTCAATGGATTCTCTAATTAGTCTTTGCCAGTAATAATTAGTTTTACACACCACTGCAACATTGTCAAAATCAATTGAGTGTCCTTGTTGACAAGCATGTTCTGCCACTGCCGACAGTTGTGTTTGAGATAATTTAATATTTCTTTGATGTTCTTTTAGTCTTACATTGATGTTACGTCCCGTCTGCCCAATGTAGCAGCTGCCACATAAACAATTAATCCGATATACACCTTCTGTTGATAGTTTAGGTAATGCGTCTTTAGTGCAAGATACTAGTTTTAGAATTTTGTGTACTGTACCAAATCTTACTGTAATGTTTTGCTTTTGCAAAACACGGGCTAATTTGTCAGTTACTCCTGAGATATATGGAATTTTTATTGTTTTAACAATCTGGTCGCTTTCAGCAGTATTGCTTTGCGATCGTGATTTGGCATTCAGTGCTGTTAATTTGAGCATTATTGTAGCCATTCTGTCGTAGTGCGTCTTTAACGTGTTTAATCTCTCTCACTAGACTCTCAGCATCTGACACTGTTTTAGCCCGATGTATGAGCTTCTTGATAAGAGAGGATTTCTGAGCTGGATGATGATGTGATTCTGCATTCAGATAGGCATCAGTGTGCGTTTGCTTTCTGTAAACGCTGTGTGTTATTTTACCGTTTAGGCCATGTCCAAGCAAAATATCTAGGAATGGGAGTGTGTTATTCACCTCCATTTCCATGGTGAACTGGATGGCTGGGTTTTGTGCATTGAGATGATTTAGAAAATCATTAAGTGTATCTTTACCATGTGGCCAGACAACCACAGTGTCATCCACATATCTAAACCAAAAGGATGGTTTTAATGTGCTCGAGGCAAGTGCTCTTATTTCAAAGTTTTCCATGTACAAATTTGCTATAGCAGGGGATAAAGGAGAACCCATTGCTGCTCCTTCCTTTTGTTTAAAGAAATCCCCTCTCCATAAGAAGTAAGTGTTATTTAAACAATGGCCAGCAAGTTTCGGAATATCTTTTGGTAAACCGGTATTCTTTACTAGTGTATCAAGTAATTTAAGTGATTCATCCACTGGAACCTTAGTGAATAGAGAAATCACATCAAAACTTACCAGAATATCATCAGGAGTAAGTTTAATATCTTTAATCACATTCACAAGATGTTCTGAATTTTTTATGAATGAAGATGTCTTACCGATGTAGGGCTGTATTTGTTTGGTTATATATTTTGCTAATTGATATGTGGCAGAGCCAATTGTACTGACTATGGGTCGTAATGGGATGCCGATTTTATGAATCTTTGGTAGCCCATAGAGTCTAGGTGGTTTTGAGGCCCTTGGCTTAATTTGGTATTGCTCATTTTTAGGGATTAATGAATTTGCAATTATTGCAGTGGTCTTACGTTCTAAAGTATTAGTTGGATCTCGTTTAATTTTAATGTAGGTACTTTCCTCTAGTAAATTTCTAATTTTATTATCATAATCGGCTCGTGATATCACTACAGTAGTGCGGCCTTTATCAGCTGCTAGGATTTGGATATCCTTGTTTACACGCAGCTCTCTTAAGGCTTTTGCCTCGTTAGAGCTAATATTTACTTTTGGAACTTTGCTATTCTCAATTATTTTAGCAACCTCATGTCTAGTCATCTCTGCCTCATTATGTGGAAGGAGTCTAACTGCTGATTCTACCTCAGCAATGATCTCATCCACTGGAATTGTGCGTGGGGTAACGGCAAAGTTAAGGCCTTTAGAAAGGATAGAGACCATGTCACCGGTTAATACAGTGTTAGTCAAGTTCAGTACAGTTTTGTTTTTACATTTTTGGTTTTCAGTAGGGATTTGTTTATTATGTAGTCTAGAAAATTTATTAATTTGGTTAGTTTTTGTTAGTTTAAACACATTATCAGCCGATTGTTGTGTTATGTTATCGATTATATTCCAATAATGCATAGATACACTATTGCTTATATCTAAGTGTAACTGCTTTAGCGATTCCGAAATGTAAGATAATTCACTCCTATTGTGCTGTATTCTCTCTATTAATAATAATTTGCTAGCTTTGTGTAGTATTTGGTTAGCTTTAGAAGACTTTATGTGATGTGTTATTTTAACTGCGTTTGGTATTACCTTTGAATCTCTGCACCTTTTGAGGAACGCCAGTGAAGATATCAATTTCATCCGCTTAATGCGAAGCTTCTCCAATTTTCTGGTTTTAAGAAAAGTATCCTCCCCATAGAGGTTAGTCAGTTTAACACGTAGGCTTTCGCGACCAATATTATTCATAATAAAGGTTTTTGGGTTAGATCGCGTTTATTTATAAATTGGAGAAGCTTCGCATTGTTTACCAAACAGTGTCAGATGGTGAGAGTCTAGTGAGAGAGATTAAACACGTTAAAGACGCACTACGACAGAATGGCTACAATAATGCTCAAATTAACAGAACACTGAATGCCAAATCACGATCGCAAAGCAATACTGCTGAAAGCGACCAGATTGTTAAAACAATAAAAATTCCATATATCTCAGGAGTAACTGACAAATTAGCCCGTGTTTTGCAAAAGCAAAACATTACAGTAAGATTTGGTACAGTACACAAAATTCAAAAACTAGTATCTTGCACTAAAGACGCATTACCTAAACTATCAACAGAAGGTGTATATCGGATTAATTGTTTATGTGGCAGCTGCTACATTGGGCAGACGGGACGTAACATCAGTGTAAGACTAAAAGAACATCAAAGAAATATTAAATTATCTCAAACACAACTGTCGGCAGTGGCAGAACATGCTTGTCAACAAGGACACTCAATTGATTTTGACAATGTTGCAGTGGTGTGTAAAACTAATTATTACTGGCAAAGACTAATTAGAGAATCCATTGAAATTGAGAGGAACAAGAATAACTTTAATCGCTCTGACAGCTACAGGCTTAGTGCGGCCTGGAAGCGTATTATTAAATAATACACATTACTTTTTGATTTAAAGAATTACTAATCTACAACTCATTACTAATCATAACCAATGACTGATTACTAATCGATTATATAATTACAATACTCCCTCCGCCTCTAATCACTGCACCTGATATGAGTTAAGTGATGACGTCACCCTGCTGCTCTATATAAAACCGGGAGCAAGCGAGGGCTTTACCATTCTGCCGAATTGCCCGATGATGCTGGATGTATTTACCAGCGAAACGTCGTACTCAAACTGTAAATGTTGTGGATTCACTCTTCAACACACCGGTGGGCTAAAGTAGTGAATTATTTGTCTTTTGTCAACGTGACACTTTTTTTGCTGATTGGCCGTGTCGGGTGGTGGAGGGTTACGACACATTTATAAATAAACGCGATCTAACCCAAAAACCTTTATTATGAATAATATTGGTCGCGAAAGCCTACGTGTTAAACTGGTGTGGGTATAGGCTGATTGGGTATAAGCTTGGCATAGGCTGTTTGGTGGCTCCGGCTAGCTGATCGGTTAGTTAGCGGGTTCTTTTCCTGCAGGATTGACAACGTGACCACAAATGTTTTTCAGTCAATTCAACGTGACGGGGCGGGGGGGGGGGTCCAAGCCGGGATTTTGTGTTTTGTTATAGCAAGCACCGATAAGTGCCAGGCACGCGGTTCCTTCATTCAAACTGGCGACACGAGGTCTGCGAAGAAAGCCAGTGGTGCTGCATTGGCTCACAACACAGCACGGGTTTAATGGTTCAGTTTCTCGTAGTTACTGCACTACAGCTTCCTTCCCATGGTCCCAACGATTTGCCGACCTCCTAACACGAACCCCCAGGCCTCCTGCACCCCACCATTTGTTGTTGCTGCAGTGGTGGTCAACATGAGGTCGCCCGCCCGTCCACCTGGGCAGCAGGAACGGATGATGTCTTGGGCGCTCCGTTCAGCAAACTGCAGTGATGTTTCGGGGATTTTCCGGTTTCCGCACTCTTGTAATGCACAATTAGTGCGTGTGTGCGTGGGAAACTCACGGAGAGACACTCACGTGTACATTCACGTCACGTGGCACGAAAACGTACGTAGCTTTTCGTTTGCGCAAATCTTTTTGTTTTTTAAACCTGCATATATCACGCCGCCCTCTGTCCACCCAGCAGTGTAAATGGATGGACCACAGTCAATTAGCAGGATGCGTGTGGTGGGGTAAAGTGTGGGTACGCCCACCTCATCGTAGATCTCTGGCTAGCGTTAAATAGGAGGCCAAATACCCTGCAGACATGCTTTCTAGAGCTTCCTACAGTGGACGCCCTTCTACCAGCAGTGGTGTATGCGAGCATTTGGAGGGCTACACCTTTACCTTGCATAAGGGGTGGAGCACAAAAGGGGCGGAGCACCAGGGATGCATTTGAGGTTGAGTTGACCTAGAGAAGTTCCAGGATCGGTTCAGATAATCGTCACTGGTGTTGGTGGCCATGAGCGGGAATCGAACTTGGGTCGCCGGGTTTATAGCGCAGCACGCTAACCGCTGCGCCACCGTTCCCCACACACACGTGCACACACACACGCGCGTACATGTGTGCGTGCGAGCAGCTACAACCACGGGGGCCGCCACGTGTCCCTGAGCCGCCGGCAGAAGCTGTGGTTCGCGGCGCTCACCGTGGGCGGCGGCTGGGCCAGCGAGCGCTGGCGAGACATCTACCCGCGCGGGGGGGGCAGCGACGGCGCCTCCGCGCACCACGCCGACGGTGGTGTCGGCGGCGCGATGGGCGCCGCCGGAGGAGGGCTCGGCTACAGATTCGTGACCGGCGGCGGTGCCGCCGCGCTCTTCCCCCGGCTGAAGAAGGCGGCGGGGACGGCGCTGGGGCTGCTGGGAGCCACGCAGCTGCTCGCCTACGTGGTGTTCCTCCGCACGGGCACCGGGCTCTCGCTCACCGAGCGCCTGCTCGGCTTGAATGCCGTGCAGGCCCGGCCGCAGGGTCTGCGGCAGGTAAGGGACGACGCGTCGGCCGCGTGACCATTCACCCGCTCGCTCGGGGGGGCGTCCTGAATAGCTCCCCGATGCGTTGTTGTCAGGTTGAACCGCGTGCTGTTCGGCGTGATGTCTTAACTTTTTCATCTACGTGCCGGAAGCTTCTTCAGGAACTCAATAGTTCCTGGAGATTTGGCAAAGAAGCTACCAGCAGAGGGAGTGAAACATTACACATCGTGCTGAGCGACAGCACGCGGTACAACCCGAAAACAACATCGGAGAGCGATTCAGCGCAACCGCGCAAACCTACGCAACAGTGTAAATCCTTCACCCGTCCCAGATCTGTTACGCGCTCGTTAATATTAACGGCATCAATTTGTCTCCGTGGTGGCTGAACGTCCCTCCTCATCCCCCCCGACTCGTGTGCGGCTCTGCCAGGTCGGCTTCGAGTACATGAACCGCGAGCTGCTGTGGCACGGCTTCGCCGAGTTCCTGCTCTTCGTGCTGCCATTGGTCAACGCCGCGCGCCTGCGCTTCTCGCCGACGGCGCACGGCCGCGCCGGTGGCGCCAAGGACCCGGCGGAGGCTGCCACAGTGTGCGTAGCGTGCGGCGAGTGGCCCTGCCTCCCGCACACGGCCGGCGGCTGCGCCCACGTCTTCTGCTACCACTGCCTGGCCAGCCGGCAGGCGGCCAGCGCCGACCTCGCGTGCCCGCGGTGCGGCTCGCCGGCCCGCCGCATGCTGCCGCTCAGAGTCGCGGTGCCGGAGCGGGGCCGAGTGGAGGGCGAGACGGCCGAGAGTTTTGGATGATAAATGATTAAATAACGATTACAAAAAGGAACAAAGTCCGTTCGTCAAGTGCGGTAGCGTGCGCCGCGACAGCGCGTAGCAGCATCGCCACGCTCCGTCATCAAAACCGAGAGGTCGCAGCTGACAAAATACCGCCAATTAAGCGCCCTTCCTTGGGGTCCCTCCTGCCATAGCATCTTGACAAAGGCAACTTAACGATGGGAAGAAACGAAACGGATCGCCCACGTGTGAGCGGGGTTCAGGTGCGCCCCGTGTGTTTATCGGAAAATGGTGCAGAATGGGCATCATACATTGCATCGATTACAATTGATTATCAATTATATCAATATATGCAGTGAATTGTGCTTGTAAGATTTGATTATTCACAATTTATAAAAAAATATATATTTGCTACGGTTACATTTATGCCAATGATCCGAACAAAACTCGCGACAGAAAAAAAACCAAGATACAATAAAACGAGACAAAAAATGCATAGATTTTTGAGTTGCATCGCAATCTTCAATCGTGATGATTTGTAAAATCGCCAGTGCAGTGTGGATAGTTAAATGGGTGTCATGCAGTGGGGGGGGGGGGGCATTGGCTCTGGTGCCAGAAATGAAATGGACCCCCCCGTTTCCCCACTCCAATCTCGTCCCATTCCGTATCCCGGCACCTAGGTCGCTCCGGGGCCCCCATGGACCCCGGCGTAATTGTCCTGCGTGCCTACTCAGGAGCCACTACTCTCCTCACTGAAGGTTACTATTCAGTTAATGGAGCGAACAAAACTGTGCAAACAAGAAAGAGAAAACCTATTTAATCCTGAATCGTATTGTGATTCCGAACGGCCACATGCCGAGTACGGGGCGCTTCTGACCACTCACCAGTCGACCGAGGCGACGCGCAGAGCGCTTGCCTTGTGACATTGTGGACCATCGTCGTGGAATTAACGTTAATCCCCTTTTATTTTCTCTGCTCGCGAATGCTCGGATGGTCTCCTAGAGACACCGCACACTCGGCTCGTGTTTGTACAAACGCATGCGTGGTGTTTGGCCAAACCGTGTGTGTGTCTACGATCGCACGTCCACGTGGGATTCGGTGTGTTGGATCTGCTTTGTGGATTGAATCTCTCTGTGTGGCAGAGCTTCAATGTTACCCCGCGTACTTTTAGTTTTCAGGACCCTTCTGAAAGAGAGTACCGAGGCTCGGGTCGAGCTTTTCCTTGGTGCATGTGCATCACCACTGCTGGATGAGGGCCTCGCCACGCAGGCCATGGCAGTTATTTCACCCAGTTCGGGTCGGTGAAGGTGGCGACCGTAAACGTGGGAGCATACAAGTACAGTCCAACAACGAAGTAGCTCCATAGCTGCCTATGACAACTTGTTTGTGCATGGTTATCACTCGTCGAGTGATTTGGTCGTAGGCTGAGGAAAGGAAAGAGAAAGTATTATTGTGAACATTACTGCCTTGCTAACACTCAGCAGCAGAGGGTGCTGTGGGTGTATGTGCCGGTGCCTGTATTGTGCAGTATGCTGTGCCACCTGGGTCTAGTGGAAATGCAAGATGGAAGTCTCGCACTGAACTTCATTAAATCTATATTTGGAGAAGCTGTTAAAAATGTAATTAGCAGAAAATGTGTACAATTTCATCTGAATTAAGACCTACTTAGGAGGTGTTAATTTAGTTAAAGAATTTAAATATCAACAATATTGCACCGTGTTAGTTTCAGGGCTGCGTTACTGGATCATGATATATCTGTTTTTAAAAGCTTGAAATAATTTTTTTCTCAATGCACTTTTTTGGTAAATCTTATTTTTCGTTTCAGAGGAAGTTTGCACGGAGGTGATGATTAACATGTGATGTTTAAATGACATAAACTTAAACAAATCTAAAATTACTGAAAAATAAAAAACGAATTTACAGCTCATTACATTTTTATCTAAAGCTTTCGTGACTGCATGGATTCATCTTCTTGGTTCTTTCGGTAAAGTCACGTAGAAGGGAAATAATAAAATAATAAAAATTTAACATAAAATAAAATTCTCCCGACGCTTCGGCCACAACACAAGCAGCCGTCTTCAGGTGAAGAAACAGAACTGTCGGGAAGACAGCGCTCCATTGTAGCCGTAACCGTCATGGGAGGATCCAGGACCCATTCTACTGGACATCTGTGAAAAAGAGCTTTATAGCTCATCAGATTCCTCCAGTATTAATAAATATTCAGATTCTGGTTCAGATATCACTCGTAATTGGTGTTATCCGTCGATTGAATTCAAGTCACCAGATTCATAGCGTAGTGCGGCTAACCGCTGCACCACTGCTCCGCTCCAAAAAGCAGTATTCCTAATTCATCAAATTTAGTGCACAAATTGTTTAACTTATCGACGAATCATATTGTGACACGTGAATAGGCTGAAATTTGAACAGATCTGTAGAGCAATGTGCCATTGCTTCCCGTTGCATAAAGAGTTTTAGCAGCGCAACACGGAGCGGTGCCGAGCCGTAGAGATCTGCAGATCTTGATTTAAAGCTTTCGTGACTGCAGGGATTCATATTCTTGGTTCTTCCGGTAAAGTCACGTTGAAGGGAAACAATAAAATAATAAAAATATAAAACAATAAAATGATCACGACGTTTCGACTGCAACACAAGCAATCATCATCAGGTATGAAAACCACAGCAAGAAAATTTGAAAAAGTGGCGGGTTTTTTTAACGTTAGCACCACGAAGAGCGATTTGGCAGTTAATCAGATGGACGAGTCCATCTATATTAGTGGTTCTTTCTGTAAAGTCACGTAGAAGGGAAACAATAAAATAATAAAAATAAAAAACAAAATTATCACGACGTTTCGACTGCAACACAAGCAATCATCAGGTGTGAAAACCACAACAAGACAATTTGAAAGAACCAAGAATATGAATCCCTGCAGTCACGAAAGCTTTAAATCAGTCCATCTATGTTCGGAAAAGAGGGGGGAGACGAAAATAATGGATGCGGTCTGAAAGCCACCATAAGCGTGAACAATCAGTTAAGACCCGAAATGGTTTATCAAATCCTTCCAATGATTGCTAAGCCAGAACCCATCTTCTCGGTTGAAATTGTCTCTGTGTTTGTATATGTGGATAGCCGCATGAACAAATCTCTCATGGTAGCCAGATGGCTTGCAAATAACCTCTGTCTTGGAGAAGTCAATGTCATGTGAGCCGACTGAATTATAACAGTGACCTGCCACGGCCGAGGTGTTGGTCCTACCGTGTTTTAGGTCTGCTTTGTGTTCCGTTAAGACAAGACACTCTACAAATCACACTTATCATTGACGGCAACAATGTCCACATCGGATTGGGAACATGTAGACAATATGACTGCCTATTTCTAGATTTGAAGCTTTCGTGACTGCAAGGATTCATACTGCATCAAGTGATGCAGCGATCTTGCTGTGAACGTTCCACCTGAATACGGAAGCTTGTGTTGCCTCCATCACTTGATGCAGCGATCTTGCTGTGACTGTTCCACCTGAAGACGGAAGCTTGTGTTGCCTCCGAAACGTGATTTAATTGTTTTCTTTTCTTTTAATGTATTTTATTTTACCTACGTGACTTTACTGAAAAAAAAACAAAGTATAATATGACTGCCTCTTCAGCTGCCACTATGTCGACCAAATGTAAGGACAACCTGATTTCCAAATTTAACCTCCTTTCCAACAAAAGACCGGACCCACACACCAAAAGCTAGACGTTAACAAAGTCGTAATTAATCGCAGTAACAGTTCTATTTCCGATGGTCTGAAATCCGTTTTTAGCTAAAGGGCTAAACTTTGCAGTCACACATAAACACATACCAGTTAATGATATCATTGCCCAAGTAGACGTGGCTCTCAAGGGCCTGGGTCACATCGCTGCAGACGTAGCAAGATCTGAAATCGCTTCAACCCTCAAAAACGCTAAGATGCCCAGCTATCAACCTCAGCAAAGATGAGCGTTTTGAATTATATAAATTTAAAAAGAGGGATGACATTGTCATCCACTCAACCGACAAGGGCAATGCCACTGTCATCATGGATAAAATAGAATATAACAACAAAATTCAAGAATTACTCAACGATGGCAGCTATACAAAAATAAAAAGAGATCCCACCAACAGCCTCGTCATACAAACCAACAAAATCATTTCTGATTCAACCGCATTAATTGATCAATCCAAACAGTTCTCGTTGAAACCTTCTGCTGCCAGACCACCAAGATTATACGGCTTACCAAAAATACATAAAGTAGATACACCCCTTCGTCCCATCGTCTCTACTATCAACTCCCCCACCTAAAAACTGGCTCGTTTTCTGTCTGAAATCCTGCGGCCTTTCACTGGAAAAACCACCTCTGTGGTACTAAACTCTACTCACCTGGTATCGACAATCACGGGTATTACCCTGTCCCCAGACGACCTGCTTGTCAGTTTTGATGTAGTTTCCTTATTCACCAAAGTTCCTGTACCTGACACCATCGCAATCATTGAAGACTTGGTTCATCAAGGACTAAACACTGAGGTACCCCCCCCCCCCCCCCCCTGGCGAGACACTGCTTAACCAATACATACTTCACTTGGAATGGAACTTTCTACAAACAAACTGAGGGCACCCCAATGGGCTCCCCCCTATCTCCGGTTGTAGCGAACATTTTCATGGAGCTATTTGAGACTAACGCAATCCAGACTGCCACTCTGCGCCAAACCTTATGGAAGAGGTACGTGGATGACACTTTTGTCATCTGCCTGCTCTAGACCAATTCCTCGACCACATCAATTCCATACACCCAGCCATCAGATTTACCATGGAAGTCGAAAAAGATGACAAGCTACCGTTTTTGGATGTCCTAATAAAAAAGACACCTGATGGTTCAATGAGCCACTCTGTCTACAGGAACGCTACCCATACGGATGCTTACCTGAAACCGGATTCCCACCACCATCCATCCCAGAAGAATTCCCTCATCAAGACTCTGCACCATAGAGCCCAATACATATCCGACCAGGAACACATAGCCAGTGAACTCAAGCACGTACACCAAGCTCTTAAGGCTAATGGTTACTCCGACTACACAATCAGCAAAGCTATCACTCCAACCATGAAGAAGGACCCTCTTGAAGAGCCTTTCAAAACCATCACTTTACCCTACATTGCGGGGATTACAAAAAAGATCTCCAAAATCTTGAATAAACACAAGATTCAGGTCCGATTCAACACATTACATAAAATCCGTGATCTGGTTCCATCTGTAAAATATGTGATTCCGGACATACAGTACCCTGGTGTCTACAAACTAAGTTGCCTCTGTGGTAGTAGTTACATTGGAGAAACCAAACGACGTCTCGGACCGCATTATACAAACAGACAATTTCAACCGAGAAGATGGATTCTGGTTTAGCAATCATTGGAAGGATTTGATCAACCATTTCGGGTCTTAATTGATTGTTCACGCTTACGGTGGCTTTCAGACCGCATCCATTATTTTCGTCTCCCCCCTCCTCTTTTCCGAACATAGATGGACTCGTCCATCTGAACACACTGTCAAATCGCTATCCGTGGTGCTAACGTTAAAAAAAACGCCACTTTTTTAAAATTTTCTTGCTGTGGTTTTCACACCTGATGATGATTGCTTGTGTTGCAGTCGAAACGTCGTGATAATTGTATTGTTTTATATTTTTATGTTATTGTTTCCCTTCAACGTGACTTTACCGAAAGAACCAAGAATATGAATCCCTGCAGTCACGAAAGCTTTAAATCAAGATCTGCAGATCTCTACGGCTCGGCGCCGCGCCGTGTTGCGCTGCTAAATATCTTTATGCAACGCGAAGCAATGGCACATTGCTCCATTGTCCTCGCATCTTCGCCCTCCGCTGACCAATTTTGCCGACCACTCTGTAAGTCCCGTGGCCAAGAGGGCGTTGTTGCGGAGACGAGACAAATCCATCACCGCGATCCTTAATGGCCGCTTTCATTGTGCCGATGCAGACTGCTGCACTGCCACGAATAGCGCCCTATTTTTCACCTTGACGCCACTGTGTCTTCCACGTGCCTGGTTATGAGGTCGTTACGAGACCAAAAACCGTGGCTTCCAAGCGAACGGCAGGCCATCCATCCGTCCACGCCATCGTTTCCACACAATAGGTTTTTTTTTTCGCGGTTGTGCTGCGATGTTTTTTTTTGTAACGGCCGTTTCACGCTTCTCCAAAACCTCAACGTACATTTCTTAAGAGCTGTGTGTGCGTTTTTGTTTGTTTATTGTTGCTGAAGTCCTCCGCGAAGCGTGCAACGCAATAAGCGCCGCGATGTGCGTGCGTGCCGCGTTTGCACGCCCGCCCGCCCGCTGGAATGGATGTGGCGACCAAAACCAAATCGACGCAAAAAACCGTGCTCTCCAATTCTACCGCGGGTGTCTTCACGGTTGCGCCGTATAGCTGTAAAGCCCTCCCGATGTGTTTTCTCAGGTTGTCACCGCGCCGCGCGTTTTATGGCATCTCAATATACTGCCGGTTGTTGCTGGACTTGTGACGTTTTGAGTATGTGGGATTGTGCAGGGTAATTGTGATGTGTAAGAACTAAAAAAAAATACTTCGCCTGAAGTTTCGGTTCCACGTGCTGGGAGAGTCTCTGGCTCGGTTCAGAAGGCTCTCCAACTCCCCGGTTTTTCCCTCCAGATTTAGAATCGGTATGTGTTTGGATTATTTTGCTGCTATAAATTTCCACATGATAAGCCACTTCGTTGAGCTATCATTTCTGACCAGGTCGCTTCTGAAAAAAAGCTTAATAGCTCAGTGGGCTTTACCTTGTAAGATTAAAAAAAACATTTTAGTTTTATTTGCATTATTTTTTAAAGTGATTTGTTTACCTTTCCTATATTTTGCACTCCTATCATATTTGTGTATTGTTGTACCATTCTAACCTGCCCCT